TTTTTGTTGTTGTTTGCAGAATGTGATATTTTTAATATAATAAAAACCCTTTATTAAAAATTTTGCTTGTATTTTTTGTTAAACTTTAATAATAATAACTTTTGACATATACAGGGTGTCCCAATAGTGTGTGGAAGTTTGATAAATCCTATATTATAGAAAATATCAAACAACGTTATTTGCAAAAGTTGTAGATAATATTAATCTGCACTTTTCAAAATTATTTTCGATTATACAGAGTGATCCATAACTTCAGAATTGATCAAACCTATGTTTTTTTAAATTCACCTCCCTATATTTAATTGTAAATTTGAATTCCCTGACTTTGCCCTTCAAGAAAATACCAACATGTATGAGGTTATACTGGGTATTTTGGAAGTTTAAACCAATTTTATATGAAAATCGTACTAGGTTCAACCCTCTATATATTTCAAAAGAAACAATCAAAGTAATATTGGTCTTGGTTTGAGCAAATTTGGAAAAATTAATTTGCCACGACAATTGTTTGAAAAATATCTATTTTGCGTAATAAAAACAAAATTTATTCTGATAGAGTTCCTTCAGTTTTTAGTCCTCAAATGTGCAAGAGAAAAGGAACCTCTAAAAAACTTGTGTTGATCATATTTGAGAGACATGGCCCCCAGCTTAAATTTTTGAAAATCTGTTGGAAAGATTCAAACATACAGGTAATGTAGCATATCAAAAAAATGATAGAGAAAAACGAACTTTAAATGAACAAAATAAACTCAGGGTTACCGAAGATCCAAACACCAGTACACGCATCATGGATAATAAAACGGGAAAAACTAAATCATCTGTCAATAGGATACTATTAAAAAATAAAGTATATCCATACCATATTCAACGTCATCAGGAATTTCTTGAAAACGATTTTCAAAAAAGAATAGCTTTTTGTGAATGGGCAACAGAGAGCATTAATAATGAAAATGATTTTTTTGATTGTGTACTTTTTGAGGATGAATCAACATTTCACAAAAACGGTTTCGTCAATAGACACAATTTACATTACTATTCCACTACTAATCCTTATGAGTTAATGACACATGGCCAAACATGATGGTCTATTAACGTTTGGGGTGGTATATTAGGGGACTATGTCATAGGACCACATTTCTTTCATGGTCTACTTAGACTTTTTGCAGAATCATCTACCTCTACTATTGGAAAATGTTCCACTAAATATAAGACGCCGAATGTGGATATTATATGATGAAGCTCCTGTACATCAACCTCAATCAGTTCACAACTTTCTGAACCATAATTTTTAAAACAGGTGGATTGGAAGAGATGGTCCAGTTATGTGGCCTCCCAGGTCCCCTGACCTCACTAAAGTATATTTTTTTTGTGGGGTTTCGTAAAAAACGAGGTTTATAAAACTAGTCCATCTAGCGAGGAAATGAAGGAAAGAATAAGACAAATGTTCACGAGCATAGATGTACAATGTTTGAAAAACGTTCAAAAATCACTTGAAGCTAGATAACAACATTGTATTGCAGTTGGAGGTAGTCACTTTGAGCAGCTTTTATAATAGCTTTTTTTTTCATTTTTTAATATACTAATGTTGCACTCTAAAAAAATTAAAATAACTTATTTTTGGCAGAGCTGTGCGGTATTCAAGTACAAGTACTCGATAGCTGTACTCTAAGTACATTTAGTGTACTTGGTACTCAGTCCAGAGTACATTAGGATCCTATGTATTAGTACTTTCACTGTATTGAGAACCTTTGTACTCAAGTACATTTTAGAGTACTGTAAGTACTTTTGAATGTACTTAAGTACTTCAGACAAATAAGTACTTTAAGTACTTTTGAATGTACTTAAGTACTTCACACAAATACAAATATTGCGTAGTTCATATTTGTTTAGACTTGTCTCAATCTCAGTCTGTCTGTGCCAAACATTTATTTCATGTGCTGAACGGCTGTTAGATTCTGAAAATGTTGATAATGACAATGGCAGCAATGATAGTAATGAACACGATGCTGAAAACGAATATGACGGTTTTTTTGATTTTGACGAAATCGAAACATCAGAATCTAAGAAATCTAAGAAAGTAAACAAACACGATAAAAGAAGATCAAAAGTTGAGTTGGAGCTTTTACATTATCTTGAGGTTAAGAGAACCGATCTGTTCATGCTGGATGACTACCCAACAATAAAAAAAGTTTTTATACGGTATAATACATGTGTACCATCTTCTGCTGCAGTGGAGCGACTTTTTTCATTTGCAACAATGTTAAACGACTCTCGTCGCCATGCTCTTACTGATGCAAATTTTGAAAAACTTGTAATATTAAACGCAAATAAAATTGGTTCCTAGAAAGGTATAGATTTTATTGTTTTATTGTGGACATATCCAGAATTAATCAACTAAATACAACACAAAATTTTCTGTAGTACTTAGTATTTAGTTGCCCGACTGTGGATATCTAGTATATTTAAACCTATACTAGTATATACATATAGTATACAAAAGCCATAAGATTATACAATAAAAAATTAATTATTAATGTACTTGGTACTCTGTACTTACAAAAGTACTCGGGTACTCATTAAGTATGCTTTTCTACGTTATGTACTTGGTACTCGAGTACTTTTTGGGAAGAGTACTTGTACTCTGTACTCTGTACTTAAGTACTTTTTTCTTGTACTTAGAACAGCTCTGATTTTTGGCTCATATTTTTTTCATTCAAAAATAAAATATCTTCTATACTGTTGTGTTTAGGGATAGGGACGTATAATTAAAGTACTTTTAGTAGAGATATAAAATACAGGGTGAACCTAACCTTAAAAATAAAGTAAGTAAATTCAGTTGATAATAAATTGTAGCTAGGTACCTTAAAAATATAAACTGATTAAACAGTATATTTTAACAGGAGTTTAAATCAAATTACATTGTGAATTTAGTTATTGGACTTAGATTTAGAGATTGGACTCCCTAGACTTCAAACTCAGTCTGCCTCAACATAAAATCTAGTCATTGTTCAAAATCTACTTCTTGTAGTCGTAAGGGGTTGCAGGAATACTGGCACAAATCAGAATGGTAGAAGACTTACAGTCAAACCAAAAGTGAAGAATTCTAATGAAAAGTTATAATTAACCCTTTTTAACATTTCATCTAAGAATCTCGCTAAACTGTTATGTTTATGGATAGGCAATATTTAACTCAAACGAACGTATAATTAGAGTACTTTTTAGTAGTGATATGAAATACAGGGTGTTACATTTAAAGAAAATTGAGAAAATCATGTATCTGAGTTTTGACTCACCCTGTACACGTCTGTTGCGTTAGGAAAAAAATAGTATATTCTTATAAAAGTAGACTATGATTAAAAATGATTCATCAAAAAATTTTGATGTTCGATTGTTTCTTTTGAAATATACATATAAAATTGGTTTAAACTTTCAAAATACCCAGTATAACCTCATACATGTTGGTATTTTCTTGAAGGGCAAAGTCAAGGGAATTCAAATTTACAATTAAATACAGGGTGGTCCATTTAAAAAAAACATAGGCTTGATCAATTCCGAAGTTATGGATCACTCTGTATAATCAAAAATAATTTTGAAACGTGCAGATTAATAATATCTACATCTTTTGTAAATAACATTGTTTGATATTTTCTATAATATAGGATATAGGTATCGAACTTCCACACACTATTAGGACACCCTGTATGTACTAAAAAAATTTATGAAACCTCAAAAAAATCTAAATATCCTAAATAATCAAAAACCAACCTATATTTTTTTTTAATTGTCAGAAGAAAGGGTGCAAAAATTAGTGTATTAGAAAACAAATGCAAATATTTTAGTTTTTCTGTTGTTATTTACAGAATTTGATTTTCTTTATTAAACTTTAATAATAATAATAACCTTTAACATATATATGTATTAAAAAACCTATGAAACCTCAGAAAAATCTAAATAACCTAAATAATCCAAAAACCAACTTATATTTTTTTAATTGTCAGAAGAAGGGGTGCAAAAATTAGTGTATTAGAAAACAAATGCAAATATTTTAGTTTTTTTGTTGTTATTTGCAGAATTTGATTTTTTTAATATAATAAAAACTCTATTTTAAAAATTTTGCTTGTATTTTTTGTTAAACTTTAATAATAATAATAATAATCTTTGACATATATATGTATTAAAAAACCTATGAAACCTCAGAAAAATCTAAATAACCTAAATAATCAAAAAACCAACTTATATTTTGTTTAATTCTTTAGTTTTTTCCAACCCTGTGTAGGTATCTGCTGATTTGAGAGTTACAGAAATTAAAAAAAATTGTATATATTTTTAAAAAACAAACTGCTAAAATACAATCAAAAAACTAACTGATATATTTTTTAATTCTTTAGTTTTCCAACCCTGTTTACCTACTGATCTGAGAGTTACCGAAATTAAAAAAAAATTGTATATATTTTTAAAAACCAAACTGCTAAAATACAACCAAAAAACCAACAACTTATATATTTTTTAATTCTTTAGTTTTTTTCACCCCTGTGTAGGTACCTACTGATCTGAGAGTTACAGAAATTAAGAAAAATTGTATAAATTTTTAAAAACCAAATCTGCTAAATTAGTTATTGTCATATAGTTCATATAGTTATCACAATGATCACAGAGTTAGATAAAAAAAATCTTTACGGAATTACTGACGCATTGAAATTAGAAAACTTAATTTTTGTAATGTTTTTACAACAAATAGGAGGTTACCTATCAATTTCAAATAGAAATAGTCAATAATTATTATTTAAATTAAACCAACACATATGTAAAAAAATCATTTACATTTATCGGCCACCGATAACTGAATAAAAAATAATTATACCTATTTAATTAAATAATATCTATTTAATTCAATTCCTTAGGTTGATTTTAGCGATTTTTCTTATACATTTTATTTAAATAACCAACCATATTTATTCGACTCAAAGATCCGTTTTTTAATAAAAAAATAATTAAAAACTTACCTGAATTTGTCCATAATTGTGATGGTTGTGTAGTTAATTCCGGTGATCCACTGTTATAATAGGGCATCGCGCCCGTTGTAGAATAAGCACTAGATCTCGAATATAACGAACTAGAAACAAATAAAAATTTGTTAAAAAAAATTCACTTCTAATTATCTAGCTTAATTAAAAAAAAAATCGAAACCCACTTGTTTGATAACAAAAGCTCTAATATTGATGACATTTCCAATAAAGATAATCTTATCAAAAAATCAGAATTTATCTTATCAAAGATACAAATCGCGACTGATAAATGAATAATCCCAATACTGATAAAATTCGGAAAAAGTATAAAAACCCATACGACAGCAAAGCAAAATAATGAAACAAAAACTAACTTGTGCTGTTGCAAAAAATTTAAATCCATAGACCAGTCACTGTCCCACTATAGAGCAGGCCTTCGAAGTCAACACCAAAACCAAACAGAAACGCGTACCGAGCCAACCTTCGACCTACCAGTCTCGGCTTAGAGTGACAACTGACAATCAACGCACTAATAATAATTGTTGGAACAGCTTTTACTACCGACAGTACCGACCCATCTTAACTTTAGAACTGCACGCTTTACTATAGCCGGTCACGTGAAAAATGACGATACGGTTGGTGCCTAGCATCCTGGTTGACCAACCCGAAGGGAAAGGGAATTTTATTTAAATAAATATACAGGGTGTCTGTAAAAGGTCTTTACAAAAACATACCACATATTCCTTAGACCAAAATAAGTCGATTTAAGTAAAATTACCTTAGTACAAAGTTGCTTCGTTTGGGCTCCAGAGGGCCTTGAAGTTACAATTTTTAAATCGTTTTTCCCATATAAATTTAAAACGACATATGCGATTTTGCTGAAATTTGGTATATTGGTAGAGTTTTATGTGGCAAAAAAAATGGTATTAAAATTTTGTCCGATAATAATACATAGGCGTAGAACTTGATTTTTTAAATAATTGCACCTTTAAAAATTCTACGCCAATGGAAGAAAAGGAGTTTGAGTATGAAATTTAGATTGCGCAACTCATTTACTTTAAAAAGAATACTCTTGATAAGACTCGATTACTCTCATGGTTTTCGCTAAATTTCTGTTTTAATAATTTAGAGTGTATAGGTTTCACAAAAATATTTATTTACAACATAATCAAAATAGAGATTTTACAAAAATTGTTCAAAATGTTCACCATTTTCACGCATACAAAGATTTATACGTCGAAGAAAATTAAAATGTATCCTTTCCATAACTTCTTCATCACCTCTAAGATTGTTTATTGCATCTTGAATACGTTGCCAGAGTTGTTCCTCATTTTCTACAGGTTCCCTGTAAACTGTGGATTTAAGATGTCCCCATAAAAAGTAATCCATCGGTGTTAGGTCTGGGGAACATGGTGGCCAGTTTACAGGTGCGTCATTACCTCTGCCTATCCATTTGTGTGGATATTGTTCATTCAAGTGGTTTCTAACGTTTAAAGAAAAATGTGGTGGAGCTCCATCTTGCATAAACCACATATCTCTCCGAAGTTAGAAAGGTAAATCTTCTATTCTGGCAACGTATTTTGTAGAAAATCCAAATAATTTTCTCCAGTTAATCTTCGTGGAAATATGACAGGACCAACAATGAAATTACCAATTATTCCAGCCCACACATTAATTTTGAATTCGTGCTGAAAATGGTTTACCTTTATTGCATGCGGATTTTCAACGGCATAAACATGTTCATTATGGGTATTAGTTATACCTCTTCTTGTAAAACCCGCTTCATCGGTAAAGAGAACCTTCTTGACAAAGTTTGGATCTCTTTCTCTTTGCATATTAACAAATCGACAAAAACCCAAACGAATTTGAGGATCATGGACTATTAATTCTTGTACTGGCTTCTTATGGTATGGATATAGCAATTGTTCTCTAAGCACTTTATGAACGACATCTTTACTTACTCCCAGTTCCCTTCCAATTCGCCTGGTGCTTAATTCTGGATCTTCTTCAACACGTTCTAAAATGTTTTCTTCAACTTCAGGAATCCTCACAAAACGTTCTCTTCGATTATCAACAGTGTTGGGAGCAAAGGAACCGGTCTCCCGAAGACGTCTCTCAACAGCAGCAAAAGTTGGGTGGCTAGGTACATTTCCTTCACAAAATCCTAATGTCAGTAACATATCGGTATATTCTGCATTGGTATATTGTACAGCCATATTAATAAATCACGCATTTGTTTTTTTAATTATTGAGTCAGATAGAACACTTTCAATCGTTAACAAGAGATTAGGTGTTAAAACTTGACAATATTTTTATTTAGATGAAACTATGGAAACCAACAATAAATGTTTTTGTATATTTAAATTTGTTTTTTAACAATATTTTGATTAAATATTAATTTTTGCATTATGAATTTTCCAAAACCCATTATTTCTTCCTAAGTAAAATGATTTAGATAAGGTTTTTGATTGGGTAACAGTAAAAAACGATTAACATCGCCGTAAGGTCAAAATATCCCAATTTGGCAAATAGTGTTTTAGATTAAGTACGAATTATTTAGACTAGTGGTTTCCAAAGTAGGCGATACCGCCCCTGGCGTTGCGCTGGAACCATGCTGGAGGGGGGCAGCAATAGTATTAGATTCAATTTGTTTGTCGTTGATAGAAATAAGGAATTTAGACGCAAAAAAGTGAAAAAGGTAAATGATAGAGAAGGATATTTTATTTTTATTATTTTTCAAATAAACATACAAAATGCCAAGCTATAAACGAGTAATTAAGGGGCTTGGAATTAAAGAGGTATAAGTACATTTTTTTAATTATTGAGATATTGAAGTCTAAAGTTATCTGTTGTTTTAAAATTCCCTAAGATCAACTACACGACTTCTGATCGTTAGTATGAAATTAAAGACATTAGAAATATATCGTCGGGTTACTGCCAAAACAAGATGAGTACATTTTTTTAATTTTTGAGTTAAATGCATGTCTAACATTAAAACTGTCTAAACCAGCGTTACTCAGTGTGGTCCGCGAAGCCCTGGGGTTCCTCAAAGTCTTTGTGGGGGCTCCGCAAGTCCGCAAAGAAAATAAAAAAGAAGCAGTATCTATCGCTACAACGGGACTTGGGAGGACCTTTTAATTTTTTGTTTTTTTAGAAGGAGTATTTGTGAGTTTGGTATTTTGTGAGTTTGGGTTGAATGACCTTTTTTTGTAGAAGCCAGGAAGAGGAAGGAGTATACGATTTTAGTATTTTGGGTTGGAAGGCTTTTTTTTAGAAGCCAGGAAGAGGAAGGAGTATATGATTTTAGTATTTTGGGTTGGAAGACTTTTTTTAGAAGCCAGGAAGAGGAAGGAGTATATGAATGTGGTATTTTGGGTTGGAGAACTTATAGGAGTATATGATTTTAGTATTTTGGGTTGGAAGGCCTTTTTTTAGAAGTCACCAAGGCGAAGGCGTATATGATTTTAAGAATTTTGTTGTAGGGGCTCCGCAAAGAAACGGGAGGGACCTGGCAAGAGGCTAGAGCAAGGAGGACTTTTTTTTCCGAAATGTGTTTAGGGTTCCCTCAAATATTTTACTTCTCAAAAAGGTTCTAACACCAAAAAAGTTTGAGAACCACTGGTCTAAACTATATACTGACAGAACCAGATAATTGTATTAAACACGGTATACGTTGATACGCATGTGCACATAAGTGTATTACAAGAATCATATTGGCAGCTAAAACAAGACAAGTGCATTTAAGTTAGGTTTAAAAATTATTTTAATTTTACTTTGTGTATAAGGAAACACATGTTTTTAGTAAAGGTCGTCCTCTAAATGCAAATGAAATTAAAATCACGAAAGTATTCAAAAGATGTACGCCCATTTCGGTTAAGAAAAAGCAAGACCAACAGAAATTGTGTAAAAGTGATGTTATCCCTGAAGAATACCATCAATATTACAAATCTTTGCCTACCACTAAAGAGGTAAAAGATTTAGTTCCAGAGCCAGCAGTTGAAGATTCTGATATATAGGTAACTTCTTTTAGGAGAGCAGGATAAATGAAACAAAAACAGGTAGGTACTTATACATTCAAAAGAAGATAATTGAACAAAAAAAGTGTTTTTTTTCTGCTAAATACTTTGGTATATTTTAAGTTTTATGATAAATTTTTCTACTGTTTAATATCTAATTGAAATAAATAATGGAGGTTTTCTTTTATGCCTGATTTTCCTCAAATGTTAAAGTTTTAAACAATAATAACTCAAAACTATAAAAATGTAACTTATCTTGTTTTGGCAGTAAACCGACGATATGTGTTATATGTAAATATTTAAAATCTGTCAAGTAGGTGTCAAAAATATTAGAGAAAATGCACTTATACCCTTCTAATTTTAATTTAATTTATAAATCTGGGGGAATACAAAATATAACTATTTAGAAAGGTAAGTTATTTTCATTAGTCTTATTAATTTTCATAGTTAAAATTCAATGACGTCATCATCTGGCTCTTTTTCTTCGACTGAAGTTGTCATCATTTGGCTCTTTTTCTTTTTCTTCAGGAAGTAAATTCGTTTAAAGGATTTTCTTCACGCCAAATCTTCTAATAAATGAGACCGTTGAGCAATCGTCAAGGATATACTCGATGGTCTTATCTTCTTGTTCGCGCCCTCTGCAGAGTGCGGATTCTGACAGCCCCATGATATGTAGATGTTTCCGTACTTGGCAATGACCAGTCAGAATGCCTGTAAGTAGGCGCAGATTCTGCCTAGTCATAGTCAAGTACAGGGGCGGCTCGTGGCCAAAATTTTGGGGATTTACAGTAGCAGAATTTAGATCCCGGTACAAATATAAGTAAAAAACTGTCATCTGTACTGATACTTATATTCTGTCACTGTGAACACCCCCACGAGCCGCCACTGGTCAAGTATTTGTCTGCTGCAGTGTTTTCAGGATAACTTAAGAGCTTCCTGACAACTCTGTAGTTTCTTGTTTCATCCCATCTTTCCTTGAATTTCACAAGGGAATGTTCTTTAATTAGAGGTATGTCACTACCGATTTTGTCTGGCCAATAGAAGGGCCAGGTCCAAAAAGTAATTGGTTGGCTGCTTTCTTGCCTAGTGAA